TTCCACGGTTCCTTCGACCCACTGACATACACGCAGCACCAAGAGTAAAATATCCCCATTTTGCTCCCTTTAGCCCTGCCAACATAGATCCACCATTTGCTACGAAACTTCAGGAGAGATGAAAACGCTTTCAAATTACATTAGTATTGCTTCAGAAAGCTTGTTTTCTAAGTTACTGCTGTTCCTTCAATTACTTCTCTTACCAAATTCTCCCCTCTCCAAACCAAATTTTCGAAAAAAAAAGTTTATAGTTAGCATCGGTAGTAAATAATATGAAATATATTCACCTTATTAAGTAATCCGAAAGACTTGTCAATCTGCGAGCACAAAACATAGATCGTCGATGTGTACGTATGGTTTTCTTGACTTCGCTAAAGACGATCAATTATTTATCTGGCTCAGCAACTGAACTAATATTTTTATATTTCCTTTGGTACTACGTGTCTCCATAGCGTAATAAGGGTCGGCGAAAAGAAGCAGCAAGACTGTGACTGGGTGAAGCAACACAAGTGAGTCTGACGATAGCTGTTAATGCGGGATCACTAGGAAAGACCCAGATCTTGATTTCTAGTTTTTTTGTTCGTCGATTTCTTCAGTTGTAGTCGGCGGCGAATGGCGTACACCGCTGCAGGTCACTGCGTCCGGATAGTTTTGATTCAAAAGATTATGCTCAAACGTCTCATTAAAATAAAGCATCGGCTGATTAAAGTGAAAAGAACCATTACAGAACAATTTGACCAGCGAACTCAAAAAGACCTCTAGATCAACTGCTAACATAACACTGAATGTGGTTTCAAATCCCGAACAACATACAATTTTTAACTCCAAGTTTACTTGTGAACCGTGCCAATGACTGCCAGTGCCAAGAATGGCCGAACACCCAGATCATCTGGGTATTGCTGTCTATGTCTCGTGGCATTCTTTCGAACTGAACATTCACAAAATAACTGCACAGCTGCACAAAATAATTGAGGAACCACCATTCAAAAAGAATGGTAGGCGTCATATTCTCTTCTCCAAAAAGTTCAGTAATTTCGAGTGACCGCTACAGACCACTATCAACGCTGACCATACGATCCTCTGACACGACCGATATTTACTTATCAGTCAGTCCGTCCAAAGGTGCGACCTCAATGAGCAATCCTTTACGGCCTGGTATAGCTCAAGGGATGCCTACAGTCAACGGGATCCAACTAACGCCAGCAATCTGGCACGCGGCCACGGCACTCACGGCCTCACGAACTGCATTTAAATTATAGAAGGGTGACGTGTCTGCAGCTGCGATTATTCCTGCGAACCGTGCTGCGCACATCTCTTCTGCGGCTTCATGACACTTGAGACTCTAGTCCATTCCTAGATCGTCGGTTATTGAGCGCATGCCTGGATAAAGGCGAATTCACACATCCACGCGCTGCTTGTGTTCATACCGTCCAGCCACAGCGAAAGCGCTCCACTGTACGGCCTTCAGTCGTATCCCCGTTAACGTCGACAATTTGCCACTGGCCAAGTTCATGTTATAGATGTTGAAACCAGCGTTTTCACTGCTCGCGAAACCAAAGTTCACGAGTCGAATGGCACCGCGACAAGGTATAAAGCACTCACCGTCACATCTGTGACAATGTGGCGTAAGAAATAACCCTACACTAATGGCCAACTATTTTCAGACACGGGAATTCGTGTGATCTCAGTGATATCAATAGAATGCATCCGCCTAGCATCCTCTATCCACACAGGTTTCGGTAAATCACTGACCATCAGCTTGCGCTTGGTTCGCCTAGAAGTCGTATTCGTAAGTACGAGCAGGATTTCTGAGGGGCCTTCCACAACAACGTGTGCCGCATTCGACTTGACCATGGTAATCATAATGTGTCGGTGCTCATCTGCGTCTGAATGGGTCGATACTCACACTCTGGAAACTGTATGGTGTAATGATATGTTGATACTCACACTTTTAGTATTTCTAAATGGTACTACTGACAGAGGTGGAATTAGTAAATCCGTAGATGCCTCGAACAGCGCCGACACAAAGGCAATTCCTGATGACACAAGAGATTCCTTATCTTCCAATTCGTTGCGTGAAGCTTTTATTGAACGTCTAAGCAAATTGATGTTACTTGGCCAAGAACTACCATCTTTAAATGATAAAATCAGAAGCATGGAGAACGTGGTTTTCGCAGCATCACCCATACCACAGTTGATTAGACCGCAGGTTGCAAGCTGCTCCATGATGAGTGAGGATATGCCTGCCCGAGCCTTCCCCACTACATTGCTTGGTGATATACAAACAGTGAGAGGAATGCTGTTCTAATTCCGACTCTATTCCCTGGTCTTCTAGGAATACTACCCTGATCCCGAATGGGCAATACTTACAAAGTCTGCGTAATTTTGACAAGTCCTGGCTTTGACCAGGCCCATAACAAATACTGTTTTCAAAGGTCAAAACTTTCTTCGAAACAATCTCAAGATTTCACGACATACATTATT